CCAATCTACATTCAAAGAAAGGAGAATGACCTTCCACCTCTTGATAGGAAGGAGTGTCAAAGACGGGGCAGTCATTTTAAAACCACTACCTCACCTGCATCCTTAGAGTTTCAGAAGATAGCCTTAGTTCTTGACTGAATCTGCTTGGCCTCTGTTCAGATTCGGTCTTTGAACTCCTAGGTACTGGTGGAGGGAAAGTGGTGGGAAACCTCCCGGATTCCTGAGTCTCAGCCAGCCCTTGTCACCCCAACATACCCTGCAGCTTTGGAGGATAGCTTTCTGCCAAGAACCAGTCATGTCTCTGAGAAGTAGCCCAATTTTACAGATAAATCTGGGAGAGGGAGTGCAAAAGCTGGGAGGGGAAGAGCCTGTGTTTTTCTATAGATCTTTCCTTTGGATTTCAGCAAGGAGACCAGGGTGTTTGAGCCTTTTTTAGGTTCAGTTTTAATTGAGTTTTCTGAGGAAGCCAAGCAGAATGTCTGTGGAATTGAGACTGGCAGGCCCAGCGTGTGGCTGTGGCAGAATAAGCACCGCATGCAGCGTTGCCATGGATACCAGAGATTAGCGCTGCAGAGCGCTGGTACCAGGGGCCCCGGGCCAGTGTCGTGACAGCCGGTTGTCTGCACTTTGTCCCCTCCTCCCACACTTATGGCTGCAGTGATCTCAAAGCCCAGACATGCCCCCAATTTAATTTAATTCTAGACTTAGGTGTTGTTTTTTACATTGAATGGTTGGGCGAGTCATTATTCTGTGTGTCTTGATAGGAAGGTTTCATGGATCAGCTAAGAGTTCCATAAGCTTTTGAAGGAGGCAAGAAAAGTGCTTGAAGGGGCACCTGGGTGGCTCAGTTGGCTAAGTATCTGCCTTCGGCTCAGGTCATGATCCCAGGGTCCTGGGATTGAGCCCCGCATCGGGCTCCCTGCTCCTCGGGGAGCCTGCTTCTCCCTCTCCCTCTGCCTGCCGCTCCCCCTGCTTGTGCTCTCTCTCTCTGTCAAATAAATAAAATCTTTAAAAAAAAAAAAAAAGTGCTTGGAGTAGAAAATTCTCTGAAAAGGAATTATATTTTAAAATGGAGTTTAGAAGAAAAATTCAGGTTGGAAATACAGCATATTGTGTTATTATTTTACCTGGCCATCTAAAAAAGGTAGAGAAATCATATCTTTCGGCATTTTTGCCATTAATTGATCTGACTCCTTCAGAAAATGAGCAAGTGACCGTTTTTCTAGAGTGTAGAGCCCTAAATGGTATTTTAAAAATGATGACCAGTATTCATAGTTATACATCATAAGTTTCTCCATCCAGTACTTGTGGATTAGCAAAACAGCAAAGAGCCAATTTATATCTGAATACAAAGAAGAGAGAGTATATTGTATTGTAAAGTTAGAGTGATTGATTTTAGATTTTTAGATGTTGGAAAAATAGTTCCATATTTTAAAATGTACCATTTTGTTTTGAGCAACAAAGGGATCACTAAAATTAAATCTCATCTACTCTTTAAAAAAAAAAAAAAAAGCTATGTACTTAAAGTGGAAATGTTAAGAGAAAGCTTGAGGCTTGGCCACAGGGGAGATCTCCATCACTTTTGTTACTGTTTCAATGCATGCTGGAATGATCGAGAAACTTTCTGTGACCTTAACCCACATTCTTTTAGTTGTATATATCTCTTTGCTTAAAACTTGGGATGTAGTTCTTTGGATTTTGGTACAAATTCTGTCAGTAGTTTTGAAATATGAAGAGTCTCAATAAATATCACTGGCATGACTAAGAGTGTTTCATTAATATAACATGGAATTTGAAATGAGACCTCTCTGCTAAAAGTTGAGCTCTTGCACGGCTAGGGATCTTGGCTCAGTCGTCCTTGTCTCATAAAATTTTTGAGAAGGAAAAAAGAGTCAGAGTTCTTTTTAATGCTCAGAAATAAAGTTGAGATCTTGGAGCTGCGACCCCCAGTAGCTTCCAGTAATGGTCATGTCCTGTTTGTAGGCAGCTAAGGTGTCTCTGCAAGGTGGTATCTGTCTCTGTACAGCAGGCTGCTAAACAGTGTGTTTGAACTGGTCACAAATATTTTTGGGTCCCTTACATTTAGCTAATTGCGCAGTGAGTTTCCGAGGGGGAGTGTTCCTTTGTGCAGTCCCCTTTCAAGAGGGACAATTTTGGTGGCTTTTTTTTTTTTAAAGATTTATTTATTTATTTGAGAGAACGAGAATGAGAGAGACAACATGAGAGGGGGGAGGGTCAGAGGGAGAAGCAGGCTCCTCGCTGAGCAGGGAGCCCAATGCGGGACTCGATTCCGGGACTCCAGGATCATGACCTGAGCCGAAGGCAGTTGCTTAACCAACTGAGCCACCCAGGCGCCCTTTGGTGGCTTTTATATTGATGATTTGTGAGGTCATTTGCCCCAGTTAATGGGTTTTGGTTCTTCATTCATCATTTGCCACTTGGTACACGTTGAGAAAGTTCTCATAGATGCTGTCTAATAGTCATTACCACGAAATGGAATTATAAACCATCCTGTAGAATTTTCATCATTGGAAGTTCTAGTTTATACTGTAATTGAGCATAGGAAGATGGTAGTGACTCCTTCTCCCTAATAGTATTTAAGTAAAAACTCGATAAATGATTTCCAGAGATGTTCTCCAAAGATTCAATAAAGAATGTAAGTTTATTATTTTTTATTTATTTATTTTTAAAAGATTTTATTTATTTATTCGACAGAGGGAGAGATAGAGAGAGCAGGAACACAAGCAGGGGGAGCGGGAGAGGGAGAGGCAAGCTTCCCGCCGAGCAGGGAGCCTGATGCGGGGCTCGATCCCAGGACCCTGGGATCATGACCTGAGCCAAAGGCAGACGCTTAACGATGGAGCCACCCAGGTGCCCCTGGATGTAAGTTTATGCCAGAGGAGTTTTTAAAGTTATCTTTCAATACTGAGATTTGAAGGATGCTAAGCAATAATAATAATGTTAGTTCATTATTATGTGATGTTTTGGGTTTTAATAGTTAAAATATTTTACTTCTACACATAATCACAAAACAAAGTTTTTGAAATACAGTTTGTGCATGATCTTCATGGCTCTTTAGAACACCAAGAGGAGGGGTGCCTGGGTGGCTCAGTCGTTAAGCATCTGCCTTTGGCTCAGGTCATGGTCCCGGGGTCCTGGGATCGAGCCCTACATTGAGCTCCCTGCTCGGCGGGAAGCCTGCTTCTCCCTTTCCCACTCCCCCCTGCTTGTGTTCCTTCTCTCGCTGTGTCTCTCTCTGTCAAATAAATAAATAAAATCTTTTTAAAAAAAGAACACCAAGAGGAATAGATGAGTTAGGACGGCCGTTCTCAAACTTATGGTATGTGTCAGAGCCATTTGGGGACTTTGTTGATCCTACAGTTTCTTAGCCCCCAGCCCGCAGCCACAAAATCAGAGTCTCCGGAAGTGAGGCTTGATCATCTTTATTTCTGGATGCTTCTAACATTTTTCAAACTTTGCGTCTTACTGTTTTACAGTGTAACCTCTGGGTTTTTCAGGTTATCCTCTTGCATAGAAATACATTTAGAAAATCTTTGGCCCTTCCCATAGAGGAAACAGTAGTAATTGCTGCCACTTACTGACTTCCTCCCGTGGGCCAGCAGTGAGCTAGGCACTTGGATGTATCTGCTCATTGAATCCTCACAATGACTCAGTTTTGTATGTGTGCTTTTTTTAAATTAAAGTGTGGTTGACATACAGTGTTATATTAGTTTCAGGTGTGCAGTACTCAGTGCTCACCTGGGTAAGTGTTATTGCAGTATCATTGACTGTATTCCCTGTGCTGTACAATCCCACAGTAACTCTTCAAGGTCATTATCATCCCCATTTCATAAGGCATGAGAATCAGGGGCGCCTGGGTGGCTCAGTTGGTTAAGTGTCCAACCCTTGATTTCAGCTCAGGTCATGGTCTCAGGGTCGTGAGATCGAGCCCCCTGTTGGGCTCTGTTGGGCATGGAGCCTTCTTAGGATTCTCTCTCTCCCTCTGCCCCGCCTCCCCCTTGCATGCATCCTCTCTCTCTCTAAAAAAAAAAAAAAATATAGAAAGAAAGAAATGAGTATCAGAGAAGTTAAGTATCTTGCCCAAGGTATCCAGCAAGAATGTGGTAGAGTAGGGGCTTGAGCCCAGGTCTTTATGATTTTAAAATCTCTCTCTGTATAGATGAAATGTGTTCTAAAACAATGACTTTAAGTATTATGCAGTACCTGGATTGGGACAGGAGGGAGTTAACTTGGGTCTGCGGGCAGCATCATTTCCTTTGATCCAAACTTAGACTTCTGGGAGGGGGGAAAGTAGGATAGGAGAAGGAGTGTTGACATGGATGAAGTTTGCTATTCCAGCTGTGTCCTGGGTGGCTTGGCCATCAAGTGCTGCCCCTGGTGGGGAGTCCAAGAAGAGAGCCCTAACATCTTCCAAGGCTGCCTGCTCTAAGGCCCAGTGGGGTGGTTTGTGCTTTATCAAGCTGGCAGAGTGAGCACCTGGAACCTTACCTAATTCTGGATTCTAGCTTTCTCAGCATTAGTCAAGTAGCCTAACCTTTACTTAAAATGAAGAACTGTCCTGTAGATACTTACTGTCCCCTGGACAACATCACAGGACAAAACCAGGAAAAGACAGAGGTTCAGTTCATCCAGTTTGTGAGCTGATTGTAGAAAGAAACACTGAGTTTGTTTCTCGTACATAGAACAACTAAAAGAAATTGCATGGAGCTCAGTCAAGGAAATAGATTGTGTGAAGAAAACCAGTGATGGTTCAGTTGAACTACCAGAGACAAGAAATTGAAAATCAGTGGTTACACAGCACTTGGTAATTAAACATGTAGAGAAATAGCAAAGTGTTAAACACAAATAATGTCAAGTTCATTGTGATAGCAAAATATTCTGAAAGTAGGCATGATACTCACTTGAGAAGAATATGATTATTTTTTATTTTGTGGGGTTTTCTTACTGTATATTTGTTTCAATATGTATTGTCTTCCTAGAAGTGTCACAGCAGCTCCACCAGCAGCTGATAGAAGCCGAGCGAAGGTCAATGACATACCTGAAGCGGTACAACAAGATTCAGGCAGACTACCACAATCTCATCGGGGTCACAGCAGAGCTGGTGGATTCTCTGGAGGCCACAGTCAGTGGCAAGATGGTAAGAAAGATCCACAGTCACTCATGTGTCTGTTAGGAGCTAAGGAGGTGTTAAGAGCATGGACTATGTTGATAATGGGATTCCTGGCCGCTCCCAGCCAGCGAGACCTACCCCTGTGCCTCACAAAGCCAAGAGCAGAAAGGAGACCACGCGGACATTCCACACCGGTTATTGTGCTGCTTGCTGTATTTTATCCATTTTTCCTGACACACTGTCGACCACATCTTTATTCCTCTACCTTATTCTTAACATTAGCAAAGAATAAATTGTCTGGCAACAGAAAATAATAATATGGAGTGGCATAAAAATGAGGGAAATATGCTGCTGGTGTAAAGGAAAGTTACAGATTTTCACATATTGATTTTATATCCAGCTATCCCTCTGAACTCTGTTAATCTGATAGATTCTTTTGATCAATTCTCCTGTATTCTAGGTTGGCAGTCATATCATCTTCACATAATGATATTTTTGTTTTGTTTTGTTTCATTATTTTATAATGACTTTTCTTTTTTCTTGGCATACTGGCTAAGACTGTGGAACATTGTCAAATAATGTGGCCATGGGCCTCCTTGTCTTATTTCTGAGTTTAATGGGAATGACTTTAGTGTTTCATTTACTAAAATATTAGAAAGTATAATAAAATTTCTTTGTGGAAATATACATTTTTCTATAAAAATGGAATAATTGTAGGTTCACATGCAATTTTTAGAAATAATGCAAAGAGAGTCTTGGCACACTAGCCAGTTTCCCCCAATAGTAACATTTTTGCATAACTGTAGTACAATACTACAACCAGAACTGATGTTGATCCAGTCTATTGATCTTATTCTGATTTCCCCAGTTTTGTACTCATGTGCATGTATTAAGTTCTGTATAATTTTGTCACAAATGTAAGGTTGTGTATTAAAATTGTTTTTAGTGGGCTGGCTCAGTTGGTAGAGCATGTGACTCTTGATCTTGGGGTTGTGAGTTTGAGCCCCATGTTTGGCATAGAGATTACTTAAAAAAAAATAAGTTTTTTTCGTGACTTAAAAATATGCTTACAAAATAATATGTATTATAAAAATTTTAGAAATCGAGAACTCTGCAAAAATGGCATTAAAATTACCTGTAATTGTGTCACTTAGTAATAACACTTGTTAACATTCCATATTTTTTTCAGTGCTTGGCTACATGTGTTTTACAGAAATGGACTCTAGTTCACCCAAAGTTTTCTAATCTTTTTTCCTTAATACTGAATCTTGCGTTCTTGAAGTCATTATTCTACACGCCTCAAGCGTTAGTGGCTTCAATCCCATTATATGGCAGTGTCGTACTTCACTTAGTGTCCCATCCCTGCAGTTGGACATCTAGGTCATTTCCAGCTTTTCACTGTCATAAATTATAAATGTCATGGGAGAAGATGAGCCTCTGTGACATTTTTAGTTTTATTTATTTTTTTAAAGTTTTATTTATGTAAGTCATCTCTACACCCAACATGGGGCTCAAACCCACAACCCCGAGATCAAGAGTCACACACTCCACCAACTGAGCCAGCCAGGCGCCCCAGTTACATTTTTTAAAGTTGGTTGTCTAGGTTGAAATCTACACTACGGTCCTGTTGGAAGGTTCTGCTCATCTGAGTCTACTGGCAGTTCTTATCGTTATACCCTTGCCAGTCCTGGGTATTAGCATTAACATTTGTATTTGTTTGCAGATTTGACCAATGAGAAATAGTATCTCAGGATTTAAATACACATTATACTCTTTACACATGACATTGAACATTTTTTATATGCTTCTCTCATTCGTTGAACGCAGATTTATGGCATGCTTACTACGCACCAGGCCCTCCCTGTTCTAGGCATGTAGGATCTATCAGACGACAACACAAAGATCCTTGACCTCAGGGAGCATACATTCCAGTAGGGGCGAGAGCTAATAAACGGTACACATAAACACAGCAGATAATAAATGATGTCACGTGTTAGAAGATGACAATCGCTGTAGGGGTGAAGGGGATCAGAGTTTGTGGGGATGTGGGCAGGGGGCAATTTTAAATCGGTAGTCAGGGTGTGCTTCATTTGAGCTTCACTGGAAGAGGTGAGGGTATTAGGTATGCAGTCCTCGGGGATTCCCCCCAGAGTTCTAGGCTAAAGGAAGAGGATGCAAAGGACCAAAAGTGGAAGTGTGTCTCTCCTGTTTGAGGAGCCCGGCGAGGGAGGAGGAATGGCACACAGCAGGTCGGGGGTCCAAGGGCCATAAGGATGAGGCCTTTACTCTGAGTAAACTGGGGAGCAGAGCAGTGGGGTGGGGTGGTCTGGATGCTGTGGAAGTATCAGCTCTCGTTGCTTTAGAATGGTCCTTGGAAGGTTAGGGGAACTAGAGAGACCAGCAGGAGGGTCTTGCAGTCACCAGGGCAGACCTGGTGGTGGAGGAGGTAGCAAGTGGGGCCAGAGAGGTGCCCCGCTGGGTGTGTTAGGAGATAGAGCCAACTGCGTCTCATGCTGGCTTGGACCTGGACAGGGGTTGGGGGGATCACGGACGACTCCATGTTTTTGGCCTAAGCTGTGGGGGGGCGGGGGCGGTGCCACCAGCTGTGACAGGGACAGCCTCGGGTGGAACAGGTTTTAGGGGAAAGCAGGAATATAGCTTTGGACATCACTGTTAAGACACAGGCCATTCAGGATTCATCTTTTGTAAATATTTTCCATAGTTTGTTTTTTGGTTTTTAAACATAAGTGTTTCTTAGTTTAAAATTTACATATTTGTATAGTCAAATCAATTTATCAAGTTTTCCCTTCATTCACTCTGCCTTTTCGAAGTGCTTTGAAGCTCTGAAGTGAAAAGAAGCTTTTCCCACTAAGGGAGCCAAATTAATACTCACCTTAACTTTTTTCTATTGGTCGTCTTGTTTGGTTTTTATTGTTTTAATTTTACCTTTAAATCTTTAATCCATATGGAATTTACTTTAATAGATGATATAAAGAAGAAATTACTCCCCCCAAAAAAGATAACCATTTGAGCCAGAACTATTTACTTCTGTCTTCCTTTACTAATTTGAATGGCTACCTTTATCATGTAGTGGGATTTTCATTTTTTCCATTGATCTATTTTTTTTTCTTCTTTTAAAGATTTCATTTATTTATTTGACAGAGAGAGACAAAGCGAGAGAAGGAACACAAGCAGGGGGAGTGGGAGAGGGAGAAGCAGGCTTCCCATGGAGCAGGGAGTCAGATGCGGGGCTTGATCCCAGGACCCTGGGACCTGAGCCGAAGGCAGACACTTAATGACTGAGCCACCAGGCACCCCATGATCTGACTATTCTTAAGCTAGTAATGCATTGTATTTTTTACCGTAGTAGCGTTTTAATATGTTTTAGTATCCTGTACTGAAAGCCTCTTTGTTTCTGTGAACGCATAGCCCACAAACTGCTGCAAGTTGCTTGGTGCAGCCAGAAGGGCCAAAGCTGGGGAGGTGATGCAGGGAAGGCGGACTGGCAAAGATCATCTCCCAAAGATCGGGGAGACCTAGAGACCATGCTTAGGAAGTTTTGCTTTGTCCTGTAGTTAGTGAGCAGCTTTTGAAATGTATACCTTAAAAATTGGACTTTTCAAATTAATTAGCTTTTTTTCTAGTTTTAAAAATAGCATGTGTTGACTTTTCTTTAAAACAGAAAAGTAGGGGCGCCTGGATGGCTCAGTTGTTAAGTATCTGCCTTCGGCTCAGGTTATGATCCCAGGGTCCTGGGATCGAGCCCCGCATCGGGCTCCCTGCTCAGCAGGAAGCCTCCTCCTCCCTCTCCCACTCCCCCTGCTTGTGTTCCCTCTCTGGCTGTCTCTCTCTGTCAAACAAATAAATAAAATCTTTAAAAAAAAAGAAAGAAAGAAAAGAAAAGTATCAGGAAGAAACCATACATGGCTTCTGTAACCTCTGGTAACAAATATGGGCACACAGAAGGTTCAAACAATACAGAAATAAAGAAAAAGAAAAGCATATGCCTTTGTTTGCCTTCCCTCCTGTTAAACAACAGCTACCAAAAGAGCCAGAGTCATGTGGTGTCAGGTGTGGCCTGCTGACCAGGGATGGGCCCGTGAGCTCCTACTGCCACCACACAGGGAGAGAGGCGACGTGATGGTAGGGCCAGGGACCAGACTTTTAACTGGCTTGTTTTTAATGTAAAAAAAATACACGTTTGTGGTAACAAATTGGAACAAGTCTGAGTAGTCTATACTAAAGAGCAAAAGCACCCTCCTATACACAGTTTCTTAGTGTCTCTTCTTTATTTGTATTCAAGATGAACATTTTCTTGTGTATTATTTCCAAACATTTCTATGCAGATGCATGTGTGTGCATGCAGCCTACCTATACTTGGGATCCTATGACCCATTATTCTTTTGAAACTTGGTGTTTTACTTTCAGTATATCTTTGAGATCTTTTCACATGACCACACTACCCTCATTCTTTTCTAGGCTTGTACATTATGTACATTATGCCATTGTAAGGGTGAACCATAATTCATCAGATCTTTGATGGTGAACATTTAGATTTTTTGTCTGCTAGAACAAAAAAAATGTTGCAATGAACATCCTCGTATGTACTGTATACCTTTGAAAACAGGTAAGGTAAGATCCTAAGAGTGGAATTGTTAGGTCAAAGGTTATGGGCATTAACATTTTGATAGATGTTGCCAAATTATTTCTTCTGAGAGTTCAAAGATGTCTACCTGACCCTCCCAGGAGTTTATCTGTATCAGAGTGTTTATTTCTCCACACACTTGCCAGCGCTAGACACTATTATACTTTGATTATACTTTGAACTCTTTCCCGGTTTTGTTAAGTAAAACTTGGTGTTCTGAATGTTTCAACTTATATTTCTTTAATTATGTATGAGGCTGAATATATTTTCATATGTTTGTTGGCCATTTGTACTTTGCTTTTTAGTCTACTGACCATTTGTGTCCTTTCCTCATTCACCCTGTTTTAAGCAAGAAAGTGACGCAGTCAAATTTTCTTGTTAAAGAAGTGGTTCTGGTAGCAGTTTCAGAAGTCAAAGGAGGAAACAGTTTCAGAAGTAAGGGGTGATGCAAAGTCTCAGAAGCCACAGAAAACTTTAAAAGACTAGCACTGAAAAGTGTCCAATGATTTTGACATTTAGAAGGTCAGTGGTGGTGTCCTTTGCCATGGAAGTTTCCATGGAGTGATGTGGCTGGAAACCTAATTGTAGTGTGTTGGGAGGTCCAGGGGAGGTGAGACAGCAAACGTGGGCTGTTCTCTCGAGGACCTTGGGTGTGAAGGAAGAATACTGAGCCGGTGGTCGATAGATGAAGACCTAGGGTAGAGGAAGGGGAAGGTGCTTTTTAAATATGAACTATTTTTGGATGTTTTTAGGTTATAGACAATGAAGAGGTGTAAAAGGAAAGGTTAAAAATATAGGATGAGAAAGGAATGTTTACATTTTGATACTATCGAAATTCAGAGGAAATGGATGCAAGATAATGTGGCAAGTGCGGGCCTGAGATGGGACGCTTCTTTGTCTGAGTCGCTCCACATAGAGCTGAGTGTCAGGGGATGAGCACAGACATCTGCCATGGGTGCACAGAGCCTTTCATGTGTCTGAAGCAGACCGGAAGTTTCCAGTGGGTCAGTGGAGTACTCCAAGGAGAGGAGTGGGTGCAGCTCCGCATTGCAGCTCTTTCTAACTTGTGAATGGGTTGCATAGTCCTCGCATGGGGACCACCGAGTGAGGGTGCGGAGAGGGGCCAGTGACATGACCATGTGGGAGTTCACCACATGGAATCATGAGCCCAGGGAAAAGGAGCTTCCCCTCCAGCAATCAGGCATTAAAAAAAAAAGGCCGGAAGGGTGCAAAATGGTTAATAGTTACCTCCAGGGATTGGTGTATGGGGAAGGATGGGACTGGGGAGAGGTTGGGGCACTTGTGCGATTTAAGTGTGCATTCTTTTTATAAAAAGAGAAGATGTAAAATGAAAAAAAATTCAGAGATTACCACCTGAGATGCTGTATGCCAGTCCTGAGTTACAGTAGCTAACTAGAGGGTGGGAGAGGTGCTAAAGAAAGGCCAGAATTGAGTGCCATTGACGGGGACAGCAGGGCAGCCTCATGCTGGCCGGCACTCGATCAAAAATGTCTCCACCATTCATTCCGCAAGCACTTCCCGAGCGACCTGGCCTGTGCTGGGCATATGCGTGATCTCATTCACCCTGTCACCATGACCCACAAACGCAGACATTGTTCGTCTCACTCGACAGATCAGAAGGCAAGGGGCAGAGCTGTTGGTTTTCTTGAGTCCAGGGCTTGAGCCCAGATTTTCAGATGTTAAGCTCACCATTCTTTCTACCACCCGTTGGCCACCCGATTGACTTTCCTGCTGGAATTCACACACACACAGAAACGGTTTAAAATCAGTTTCTTTTACATGACCGTGAGAGTACCATCTCGTGCAATTACAGAATTCAAAATATGATAGCCCACGATCATACCTGCAGTATGTTAGTGGTTTATTTCTGTCGGGCCCAGTGCTTTAGCTCCCAGAGCTCCTGTGCGTACCTTACAGAAAGCCCGGTGAGGGCTCTGCTAATCGCTGGGGCCCGTGATGTGCCTGCGGGAGTTTTGGGCCTCTCACCAGCCATCCTCGCGCCCCTCTCCGCAGATCACCCCGGAGTACCTCCAGAGCGTGTGTGTCCGTCTCTTCAGTGACCAGATGCGGCAGAGCCTGGCCCACAGCGTGGACTTCACGAGGCCTGGGACGGTGAGGCTCTGGGCCCCGCGGCTGCCCCCCAGATTTAAACATAGCCTAACTAAAAAAAATGAAAGAACAAGGGCAAATAACATGCAGGAGTCTGCATTCCGGAGGTCTGTAAAGTCCCAGAAGGAAGAGAAAGCTGTTTTTGAGGAGTGAGCAGCTGGGGGCTGCATCCCGGGGGCGGCGGGCGAGAGGTTTAGTCTGCTCTTCCCCCTGGGGCTGTTCCATCCAAGGCCTTACCGGTAACAGTGAGCAAAGCAATAGGAAAGGAAGGAAACTTCATTCTCTTTTTTAAAATAACTGCCATATTGGAAGCTGTACCGTCAAAAACAGGTGCTCTCTCTTTTTCTTTTCTTAACTTTTTACTTGGAATAATTGCAAACTTACAAAGAAGTCGCAAAAATAGCACAAAGGACACTTGTATACCCTTTACCCAGATTCAGCGACTGTTGGCATTTTACCCATTTGTTTACTTTGTCTGCACACACACACACACACACACACAGAGTCTGTTTTCTGAGCCATTTGAGAATAAATCACATATATTATGGCGTTTTACTCCAGTGTAGAGTTCATTTCTTTCTTTCTTTCTTTTTTTTTTAATAAAGATTTTATTTATTTATTTGACAGACAGCGAGAGAGGGAACACAAGCAGGGAGAGTGGGAGAGGGAGAAGCAGGCTTCCCACGGAGCAGGGAGCCCGATGTGGGGCTCGATCCCAGGACCCTGAGATCATGGCCTGAGTGGAAGGCAGATGCTTTTAACGACTGAGCCAGTCCGGCGCCCCTAGAGTTCATTTCTTAAAAGGAGTATTCTCTTATGTAACCATACAATGATCCGCTTCAGTAAATTTAATGTCTTTATGATGCTCTTACCTAATCTGGGCATGTTCCTTTTTTTTTTTTTTT